ATGAAGATCATCATAGAACACATTCCCGGAATATCTGAAACCGTAATCGACATCTTACTGTAAAGTTGTCGCTTTAAACATAGATTCATGAGCAATTCATGGGAAAGCAATTATGGTATTAGTTGTGTTGTAAATCAACTAGTTTGTAAATCTTGTTATTAATAAAGGGATATTCTAAAATAATCTCTCCATGTTCATGTTTTGCGGTACAGTAGAACATTTGTTGTTGCTAAGTCTAAGAAGACTGGAAACCAGCTATTCAGAGCGCCCTTCCCAGCGCACTCAAGAATGGCCTGGTGAATCGCGACGTAAATACGCAGAAGGCAGATTTCTGTGTCATCACTGATTGGCTATCTCCATGAATTCCGTGCGTAAAGCCGCCCATCCACATCGCTCCAGACCGATTGACTGGTCTATTATTCGCATATTTTTCAAAGTCTCACGATCATAGACGACATCTAATCTAAAGTGTACAAAATATATTTTCCCCCTTGGTGGAACTACTTTTTGTTCTGCTTTTCTCTTCCGAACACCCCCCCCCACAATATCAAATGTGCAACCCCTAAATTGCCCAACAAACGACGATCTTGCGGGTTCTCGACTTGATCACAACCCTTTGTCTCGTCGCAGTCAGTTGAATAATGCCAGTATTAACTGACTGGGAAGAACCCCGTCTTCTCTTTATTTCCATTATGACATCCATTCTGCTTTCAATTTCGGGAGGGAAACACCAACGTTCTGTTCCACGATGACGTCACAAAGCTGACGTCACGGTGGTTTCCAAGAACAGATGACTCAGGGCGTGCTTACTCAACATTCCCCAGAAAAAAAGTAACCTACGTGGTAAACCCCATGGCATCGTTGACGCTGCAGGTCAGCGTCCTTTCTAAACCGAGACAGCGCTTCCCGTGACGACACAACGCCATGGCATAATCAGACTTAAGAACAAGGTCACTAAAACGTCAGCATTTTATAATTTATTCATGGGCATATATTCATAAACTCACGGCAGTTATACATTGTCTACATGTCAACGCATGCAGCGACGGGTTGGGTAATTTACGCATTTTGAAGCACGATTCAAAATATGCATACGAAATGTAGATTACGTATAATGCTGACCAGTAATTAATTAATTAATTAAATAATTCTTGGAAATCCAGAAGATCGCCTACATCGTAGAGTACTGGTGGTCGTCGCGCAGCGCGTGTAAATAAACAATGTATTTTACACGCGTTGTGTACGTCGCTATGAGTCCCATATCGAAAAGGACGCGGCGCGACGACCAGCGCCCTTTAATATTTACCTGTGAAAGTATACGAGTAACAACTATTTATCTGGAGTTCTCAGACTTCTAGTAAAAATAAAATATGCAAGTTATATGCAAATATGCATCTCTAAGTACAGTGAAACTAGACTGAGTAACGCAAGCAATTACCGGCTGTCGACGCATGAGCGTAAGGATAATAATACCAGTACTCCATAAAATACACGTACTTGCAGTATTCAAATACAAATACTTGCAACGTACGTGACGAGTTATTAGTTAATAAATAGAAATACGTCGTATACGCAACGTACAATTATTGTTATTTTGTTATTATAAACTTAGATGGAAGGCACTAACTTTTAGGATCTTTCATGGATAAGGTATTGAATCCACAGAAATGGACCCCAGCCCTTGTTTACTTGCAGTTTCAGGCGCGTTTGGCCGTCAATTACCAACACAGTGGCAATCGAAGGTTATTACGCATGTCGGGGTTACTTATATGAAGAATTATTTGAACATCATTACTATTGTCTTTACCCGCTAATAAAATTGATATTTTTTTCATAATGGAACTGATCACGATGTTTTTTTCTAGTTCACAATACTAGGTTGTTTGCCTGGTCCGCACACATTTTTTTCAATTTGTATATAATTTGGTACGCAGTAGTTATCGCAGTCGGGACTTCTTTTTTGTTTTACAAAAAGAAATAATTAATTGCCCTTTCAGTCATTTTAGCGTGGTCGCGAAATTTAACCGGACCGCTAAAGAAATGCCGACTCGGGATTTCTTTCGCAGTCACGCTAGTTTTCGCGATCGCGTTAAAAAGGCTAAATTGACAATTAATTATATTTTTTTGTAAAACAAAAAAGAAGTCCCGACTTTGGCAGTCCCGACATGTAGTCATGAGTAGCGCCCTCGCCGGCCGAACTACATCGTATTTAAAACATAATGGATCAAACAGATGCAAACACGAGATTCTCGTTCAAGCGCCGAGTTTTTGTTTTTTATCAAACTGTATTCAATGACTTACCTTCAATGTCTATTTAAAGGGCGGCAGTCGTCGCGCAGCGTCCCGTTCGATATGGGACTCATAGCGACGTATACAACGCGTGTAAAATACATTGTTTATTTACATGAAATTCGAACACGCGCTGCACGACGACCACCGCGCTTTAAATCGGCACATGGATGGAAACAAAACAGTCAAGCATAAATTTCCGTCTTTTATCTTTATACATTATATAAAATAGTTTATATAAACTATTACACTATGCGCTAATGACCCAATTGACCTTTCACCCCAAGGCAAATGGTACATCCAGTGTATGATATAATGCGTGATGTGAGACTTCAATGAAATCGACCAACTTGAAGGCATGTCGGTCGCACCCCGTCTTCGAACATTGCAATGACGTCAATTGTTCGTGGAAAACTAAAATATTGACAAAGATTAGAATGAATCCAAAAGCGAAAATGAAAGTGAATAAAGTATCTCTTCAATGACAGCATAACAATACAGTAGTGGGGAATGAATAATTTACGTATAACGACGTCATAAGACTGTTCTAAATTGCCAAGTTCCCCGGTTTTTCGTACTAGTCGATTTATTTAAATTTTTTACCCTCAAGTGACTGTGGTCTGTACACCCAGGCATTTTACACTGTGTTTGTGTATACGTATTTTTATAACATAAAATATTTTAGCAAACATTGGGAGAAAAAAATGGAAAGAATTCCTTTTACATCCCCACCCCTAATCCCAATCTGTACGTAGGAAGGGCAGAGCGCTGGGAGGTAGGAGTAGGGTTAATGTTTGGTTTAGAGGTTGATGAAAAAGGTACTCATTATGAAAGATCGCTCAATTGTTGAAACGCAATTTGATCAGAAGGATGATGTTTCTCCTTTTTTGCGAGGCCATACAGTATGTTTCTATGACGACCAACCAGGAAATAAGGGTATCTGTAAAAAAAAAATACTAGTACGTGTAAAGGTACACGATGACCAGGCACTTAGTCCATAGAGGGCGCTGTTTGTAAGAACCGGAGCGCGGAAAAACAAGGGCTAACCATTAGAAACCCGGGCGGGTAGGGTGGTAGAAAACTTAAACTCTGTATGATCTAGATTTTTTAAGAACGTCGTTGTTTTGTCTTCACCATCAAGTGTGTGTAGATTTTTTTTAATAAATTAAAAAAAAAATCTGTGTAGCCCAACCACTCCTAGAGTTACTAAAAGTGTTATTACCGTAGTCTCATTTTCATTTGAAATAAACATTGCTGTAAACTCAAAACTATCAATTGATGTTATGATACAAAGTGGTTTTATTTAGTTTTTCAAATATTCCACTTTTATTTCAAGTACAAAGTTTGAATTTGAAAAAAATGGCGAGCTAAATTGCAGCGCTCGCTTTTGGCATATCTCTGTCATAGGAACAGATGGTAAAAGCATTTTAATACTTATAAAATTAGGCTGATGACTTTGCTCATGTAAGTACGATCGCGGGATACACTCGTGAAAATAACTTACATATGCAACGAAAGCCACAGGGAGGGTGTGGGTGGGGTTCTGTCATAGTATTTCCAAATGTTACTGACAATTCGACTAACTCCCTCCCTCCTTCCCAGCACCCAACCCAATGATTACTTCATTACTTGTATAATTATATCCCACAATGCAATTCAGGAAGGACATCACTGACAAATCCTTCTTGCGTCCTAATATTTTAAACAACTCGAAGGGCAAACATTCTGGGCGTCACAGTATGGTTGGATTAGAAGATGTATACTAGTAAGTTTATTACAAGAATTCTTCAACATACGCACTCAACAGTATACAGGCAATCACCAATCAAAAACATTTATAAAGTGCCT